ATTCTATATTAATACATAGATCTTTATCCACGTGCTTTTAACTTTAAGAAGGACACACTGCCAACTTTAGTGGTGTACACTGAAAGGAGAACTCCTGACTTCTATATCAAACTGCCTGGCATTGCTGTCATTCTGATAGCTATGTAGGAAGCTTACTCAGGAAATGATAGAATATTTATGTTCCAGAATTTTAAATGCATGATGAATTAAAAATTAAAGGCATCCTCAAATGTAGTTCAAATAATGTTCCAATCTTATTTTAAAAATATATACATATATCATCACTATCATATCCATAATAAGTACTGCTTATCTAATTCTCATAGATTGTAAATGCCAAGCTAGTGATAGGAAAAGATTCTAGGACATGAAAGAGTTTTTATTCTCTTGAATTCCTTGCTCCCTTTTGACTTTTTCCTATCTTAGGCAGCTAGAATTTTCCACTTTCATTGCCTGGGAGGAGTGACACAGAAATTTGTAGATAACAAATGCTCAATTCTTGGTACTTGATTTTCAAATGCTTAAGTTTGCTCTTTGATACTAAATTTATAAAATCAGAAGAGATAAGAGATGAGTTTTACTATTCACAGAATACATAAGAAACCTGGACCAGAAAGGGCGAGTAGAAGAATTATTTTTCTTTCTGTCCCCTGGATTGAACCTGGGGGAAGGCATACATTGGCCACACAGATATGTGTGCTCTGAGAGCAGGAGTGGTCTGGGTCCTTTGCTAATTACACCCAGCCATGTGGCAGGACCACAGAATTGTTATGCGCTTGGCTTGACATTAGAGGAACAGAGGGGAAATGGCCATAAGGACCATAAGGACCATGACAGATGGACCTAAACATGGCCATGAAAGTTGTCCAGCTTGAAGCTTGGTATGGCTCAGGAACAGAAAAAAAAATGTTCCCGTGAGCCATGGGCTGCCAATGCTGCAGGCAGGAGGCCACTGCATGTGACAGCGGGTGGTGAGAGAGTGACAACAGGTGGTAGGGAACAATATCACATCTGCCCATCTCAGGGGATTCTGTGACCATCATATGATGGCAGGCAGCCGGAACCTCTCGCCCTGAGGTTCCCCATACCATGCCTAGCACCTCTGGACTCAGCTGCAATTCCAGGAGAGGAGAAACGAGTGGTACCCACTGATTCTCCCTCTGTTGTCAGCACTTGGAAGTGCAGAAACTTGAACAGAAGAAAACTTCCAGCATAGTAAGTCTAAGACTTACACGAATAAAGACTTCACAGCGCTCTGAAAATGTGAACTGAATTTCACCATGTGTAGTTGAGGGCTTCAGTACACCTGTCATTTAGAGAAATAAAAAAGTGCCTTTTTCGAGGGTTGTCATGAGGATTAGAGGTGAAATATATAAATTAGTCACAATAGCTCCATATAATTGTTAGATGCCTTAAATATATTAGCAACTACTTTTACCATTTTACCTATCATTTTAAATTTGGAATTTGTCAAATTTCTCATATACTGTTTTTTTAAAGAGATTAAAATATCTTATTTTCTTATTTATTTTTTTCTACCAAAGTGCTTAAAAATGATTCAAGGGGTAGACCTACAGAATTGGAATTTTATAGACAAGAGATTTTTATGGAGGAAGTACAAAATAATGATTAGCAGCAGTAACAGGCATGGTCTTTCCTCCCCAACAGACAACAAAACAAGCTTCTGTAATTTGGATGTGTTCCCCTCAAATATCCAGGGGCTCAAAGCTTGGTTGCCAGCCGATGGCACTATTGGGAGGTTGTATTAGCTTTCAAATTGCTGAGACACATTACTGAACATCTACAACTTACAGGGCAAAAGGTTTAACATAACTCATGGTTTAGGGGAATTCAGTCCATGGTTGACAGTCCCCAAGGCAGGAATGGCAGAAGGACCTGAAAGAATGTATCTACTTAAGACATGGAATCCAGTAAGCACAGCACAAGAACAGTGCTCATAAAAGTTATTCTGTTAAGTTCCTTGCAAGGAAGAACATGATTTTAATAATCATTATTGATGACAATGTTTAAATAGTTTAAGAGAATAAATGAGAGGTCTTTGGAGTGATTTTTACCTTAAAAGGTTTGACAAAGGAAACAGTTTCTCCTTCCATTTAAGAAAGCTATTTTATTTGACAGTCTACTTGTAAATGGTCAAGGTGAAAGTCATTTTGAATTGTTGGTTTTTCTTGTGTATGTAAGTTAACATATTGTACTTTACCTAATTACGGATACCTCTGACACAGCTTGTTCAAATGTGCATGTAGCCTACGTACTCTGGGAGAACTTTCTGACTTCTACTAAGGCGCATTGAGCACAGCCTTGATGTGTAAGTTATCCAGACCGTATAAAATGGAGAGATGAAAACCACAGCTGGAAAGGGAGATTAAAGTGATAAGAGGCAAGCAGAAATAACTCAGTGTTATAAGTTTCATCACCTGGATTCTAACAATGGTGATGAAATTTTGTCATCCTTCCTGGAAAGTTCCCGCCTATGGGCTGGCACAGCGTGTCAACAGGCTGTGGTGAGATTTTGAACAGAGGTAAAGTTTTTCTGTTTCCAAGTACCCAGCAACACCCACCACGGGGAAGATTTCTATGTATGAATTTGGGGTACACGACATTTAGCATGTTCACCTGATTTCTGCTGAGCATCCTAAGTACATTATCTACTGAGTCCTCTTGACAACTCGTGGACACAGGGAAGCTTATTACGTCTATTTTACGGAAAAGAAAAGAGCTGATTCTGTTTCTCCTCATTGCCAAAATCTAATCCCAATTCCTGCGTTGCTCTCTGAGTCCCAGTGTTTTTCTGCTTCCCTCTAAATTGGTGATTGCAGAGTACTGAGACTTTTAAGGATCGTCACTGTGAGGTTTGTTTCTGTTACTTGGTCTCTTGAAACTTGGCACTAACGCTAGAGTTCCTAAAATTTCTCCATGGAAAGTCTGCTTTGGGTGGTGAATTTGGAGCAGGCATCAGCTCCCTTCTTTTCTACCTGCAACCTTTTCAATCGGTGGGACACTTTCTGTCCCTCCGGGACTCTGAATAGCCAGCACATCGAGAGAGAACTGGACAGCAGGGTGCAGAGCGTTGTGTTATTGTAGCTTTTTAAAAAGGATGACATAGTAGTCTGTGATATCAGCAGACACTATTTTTTAAAGAAATGTTTATAGTCCTCTAAATCAAAAAGTAATTGTAGCTTTAGCTCACCAGTTTAGATAGCATGATTACTCTTGAATTACTGCCACTAGCTAGAGACAGTAATCTAAACTGAGAAGAGCCCAAAATATAATCAGACTGAGTCAGTAAAGAACAAAATTGGGAGTCTGAGTTGTAGCTCAGTGGTAGAGCATTTGTGCAGCATGTGTGAGACTTTGGACTTGATCATCAACACAGGAAAAAAGTGTATTATCATTTGATAAGACAAGGTACATCACAGACATAAGCCAGGTGGTTAAGGAGCTTGAGAATGTGTGGTGGTTTATAAAGCAAAAGTCACAAAGTTGTTGAATCTTTACATGATTATTACAGTGGGGATCCCACACAGCAGTGGATCATTTGGTTAAAAGTGATTACTGTGTAACTTATTAGCTTTATTTTTTTTTTATTTTTATTTTTGGTACTGGGAATTAAACTTAAGACCTTGTACTTGCCAGGCAGGCACTGTGACACTGAGCTATATCCCCAGCCCTGCTTAACATTTAAAGATGATTCATATCTACTTTTTTTTCTTTTTTATTACCAGAGGCCTTTACAAGAAAATAACCCACTTAGAATCCTTTTGGTTCAAGTCTGGCATAGGTGGCCTATAGTTAGGGAATTTTCAAGAATGGTTTGTGTCTTATTTTATCTTATTATTATTGAAATTTTTTGTCTTATTTTTATCTTAACAGAAGTTTAACACTTTCATTGTAAGACCTTAAAAAGCTTGCAACACTGCAGGCAATGAAACAGAGCCTCTTAGGGATGCTTTATAAGCCATCCTATATTACATATCCTTGAGCTCCTTAAACACCTGGCTTGTGTCTGCCTGACAACTATCTACTATGTACCTTGTCTTTTCAGATGATAATATACTATTTTTCCTGTGCTCATGATCAATACAGCTATTTGAATACTAAGTGCTATACAGGTCTTTGTCTTCACACATACTAGTGTATTTCCCTAGGAGTGATTAACCTTGTTATTTTACATTATTGACCAAAGGCTTATTTTGCTAGCAAGGGAGCTCTGGGAAATTCAAGCTCCTTTATAGATTCGTGGTTTTGAAGTTTCAGAAATTTGAACAATATCCCAACAGAGTACTATTTCTGCAGGTATTCTTGTTGGCTAGCAGCTTCCATGCTGGCTTTATAAGTTTTATGTGGTGGTTGTTTGCATTCTAGGCAGGCTACAATTGTATGTTTTCTTCCTTTTTTTTTAGGAGGTCTCACTTTTCTTCCCTAGTGTTAGTAAACGAAAGAGGAGCCACCTGCAGTGCTACCTATCTGCCTGATGCCTGGAGAGTTCTTACCTTCTTTTACAATTACTTGTCCTAAATTACTACAGTGTAGGTACAGACATCAGACTCTTACAAACTGAGGAAACTGAGGCAAGAGTGCTTAGGAAATGGATGATTTCCATAATGGATGATTGCATATTCAGGTTCAAACCTGGGAAATCTAGCTCCAGGGCTATGTTCTGAATTTCTATGTCTTCTGCCTCTAACACACACACACCTGACAGGTGTGTCAGGTTTAAACACCTGCTATGGGCACAACCACTGCTTTCCTGAAATCCTGGCATCGACCTGGTTACCTAGAGGAGGATGCATTCTCTTTAGGGATGACTATTTTAAGCAAACACACTAAATGTAAGTTTTCCTTTGGTAGCCTGTGCTTTGCACTTGGGTTGACTTTGCTCTTTGGGCACTGCTGTCTCCAGGCAGGGAGGGAAGTGCCAGCAGGTCGCCATCTTCCTACCCCTGGCTCTGTGAGCACTGTGTCTGCATCGTACTCACCACAGTTCTCCTCGTCTGCCTGGTTCCCGCAGTCATCTGCTCCATTGCAGTGCAGCTGCTGAGGCAGGCACTTGCTGATATTCCCACAGGGGAAGAAGCCCAGGGGACACTTGACCTCCTGCGTGTGCCCATGGGAGACTGTGAGGGAGAGAGAAGGGGAAGCAGGACGCTGATGAGGAAGGATCACACAAAGGTGAGGCAGAAGGGCTTTCCCTAGCCCTAACACTCTGGCTACCCACCCTGGGTGCTACGACCCTCACCTTGCTTACTGCTCCTGATGACTCTTTCCTGAAATCCTCACCTCCTTAGGTTTCTCTTTCCATGATTCCAGAGAATGCCAGGCTTTGACTTGCTTTGCTTTTATTCATGCTCTTAGGAAAATCCTCTCCATCTCTTCTTTGTGCTACACTGGGAAATGAACCCAGGGCCTACACACTCTTTTCATATTTTTTATTTTGAGACAGAGGTTCACTGAGTCCCTAAGTTGCCCAGGCTGGGTTTGAATGCTTGTGGGTGTGTGGGAACAGGGAAGGTTGGGGCATCTGGGAACTGCAGTCCTGCTCTGGTGCAGGTTGCAGCTATGGAGGAGGAGGGGAACCAAGGGAGCAAGTGACAAGTTCAGGGAACTGAGGTGCGAAAGCGAAGACAGTGTGCTGGGGCTTTGTCAGATGAAGTAGTCCTCAGGGTGCTGCTGCAGAATGACACCGTCTAAGCTGAGACTTGAGGGAAGGAAAGGAAGCTGGCAGTGTTGCTAAGGGAGGAGGGGTGGGGCTTGGGTGGGCAGATGGTGGTGGCTGAGGTGATAGTGAAGGAGCCCTGCTGGGGCGGGGCTTAGAGAAGGTCACAGAGATGGAGCATGGTGAGCAGGGATGAGCTGCATCTCCAGGGCCTGGGCCTGAAGAGGTGGAGAAGGATATGTGGGCAGAGCAGAGGAGTTTGGATTTCACCTAAAATGCAAGGGACACACATAGTGGGAAAGGTAGCCCCTGTATAACTGGTGCTGGCAAAGTGAGATATCCACAAACAGAAGACTGAGTACAGACACATAGATCTCATAGACACATAGTCCTAAACTAAAATCATTATGGAGCAAAGATGTGAAAAATGGAAACAATACTGGAAGATAACACAGGTGTAATTCTTGAAGATAGGGCATAGGCAAGAGTCTTCTGAACAGAACCCCAGTGGCCCCAAAAGTAATACCAAGAATCAACAAGTGGGATCATACCAAATTATAAAGCCTCTGCATGGCAAAATCAAGTCCAACCAAACTAAACCAATCAAAACAAAACATCTGACAGAGTAAAGCATCAACCTACAAAATGGAAAAAATATTTTGCCAGCTATCCCCCAGAGGAACAGTATCTAGAATATATAAAGACCTCAAGAATATTAAAACCTTAAAAGAAGCATGAGGTTGTTAGTTCCATCTCAGGTACAAAAGACAGAGAGGGGAGGACAGAAAGGGGGAGACAGAGAGAGACAGAGAGAGAGAGAGCAAGAGTGCAAATTTAAGTAGTCACTTTTCAGAAGTGTCTAATAAATATATGAAAAATTCTCAACATCACTGGCCATTAGAGAAATGCAATTTCAAGTATTACTGAGATACCATCTTATCCTAGAAAGAATGACTGTCTTCAAGAAATCAAAAATTAGCAAATTCTTGTGAGACTATGGGGGAAAATGAACTCATGTCAATGGTGGGAATATAAACTAGTACAACCACTATGGTAATCAGTATGGAAAATCCTCAGAAAACCTAAAACTAGAAATTCTATTTGAACTAGCTACTCCCTTCTAGGAATCTTCCCTAAACAGGTAGATTAATCATGTTATAGTGACACATGAATCCAGGGTTATAGCAGTACAATTAATTATAGCTAAATCTTGGAAGTGGCTTATGTGCCTATAAACAGATGAACTGATAAAAAATGTATTTATATGAAGAAAATGCTCCCCAGCCAGTCTGTTAGTTGCCCAGTTCCTATTAAAAGTTCCTGTTATTACTGTCTCCTAGAAATGGCTGGTAATGATAATGCATAGCTGGCCACTATGGTGCATATTGTGAGAGCCAATCAAAGACAGTCAATTACTCTGCTTCTGTACTTCCTGCTTGTTTATCCCATATAAGCCCCAAACCTCCAGAGATCAGGGCCTGATATTTCAGGAATGAATCCTATCAGTGCCTACTGATGTAAAATAAATCTGTCTCCAAATCCTGGGTGATATTTTTGGCTTTTTTCCTTGCCATGGCATCTGGTACATCGACCAGGAAGACCAACTGTACTGATCTATTTAGTCACTGCTTGTGGCCCTTTCAGATGGATCAAATGCATCTCCAGGTCTTGATAGGAAGGTATGACCTTGAAGTTTCTGAAGTCCCTTCAGAGGTCTACAGGAATGTTCCTGGTTCCCTATTCAAGCAGCTTACTTTGCACCCCACAGGGAGGAGGATGCAGTGTCTGCCTGTCTGCCTGTCTACCTGTCTACCCGCCTGCCTGATTCCAGTAAGACCCCCTAGGCATATCCAAGTTACTCTGTCTGTCAGTCTTGTGCAGCTTGAGCAGAAGAAGAATCAGATCAACTTTCTTAGTGAGGATCACCCTTCAGGAAAGGGGGTTGTAAGGTTTAACCCCTGAGTGCCTGTTGAATGAATGGGTGAGTGTAATGAACAGCATAAGACATACTGGCTACTCTATCTGTACACCAAGACTTGAAAGTTCTGATCGTGGTAGCTGACTAGACACTTACCTGTGGTTCCATGGCAATTAACATATGGCATAATAGAGGCATCACACCTTCCTTCACTAAATCCCCAAAGGGGTGTGGCCAAGCAGCCATCTGAATGGTCTTTCTCTAAGGAGCACCCATCCTTTGTCTGTTGCACCATCTTTCATGGGTACACTACTCACACATAGGGATCCAGACATGGTAATTAATTAATCCAAACTCATGGACTTTGATGTAGTTAAAATGAAATCAAACTGTTTCCTGCATCTGAAGAAAAAAGAGATCTATTTTTCCTGAGAATTTTGCCTTGGTACCCTTTCCAGCTGCCACAGTTGCTGGCAACACATATGGCTTCACACACACTCTCTCCCTGCTCCCAATTTGTCTACTTCCAGCCAACTGAACTGGTTTCATCCAGCCATTGCCTGCATTTGGCCACAGAGGACCCCAGAATGAGTTGCCATGACCTTTCCCAAAGATCATCCCATCTAGAATCAGAGAACCATCCAAGTGTTTCTTGAAGACATCAAAGAGGGAAGAGAAAAAGCCCTTGAAACATTGTTACCCAGAAATCTGATAAAAGAAAATTACCTAATGTTATAAGAAAACCCAGTCTGAAAGATGACTATGCCCTTTGGCTATGAGTTACAAGGGCTATGGAAATAAAAATTAAATCCCCCTCTATCTCCAAGGCACAAAGATACTTGATTATCCATGGCCACCTAAACTTGAACTTCTGCTCACCCTAGTGGGCCTGGATGGATAGGACATACCCAGCTCTGTCAAATTGGGCCCTCATGAACCCCCTGTCATTGTAAAAATCAGGGGGCAAACCTGTGAATTTCCTGATAGTGAAACACAATTCTCTGACTTAAAAAGTTTCCTCTGTCAATAAGTTACCATTACTGAGGTAACTGGGGCTCTTGCCTCTTACCCTTGCTAGGCACAGATGTGTAGCCAGGGAAGGCATCTCACCAAACATAAATTCCTGTCACCAAGCCTGTTAACCTCCTGCTCTTTTAATCCTGCACTTTCCCTGAGAGGAAGATGACACATGCTTCAGTCTGAGACAATCCTAAAATTCCAGAAACTCTTCCCAGAGGCATGGACTGAAGACTCATGTGTGGAACTCTCCACTAACCATTTCATGACCCCTGTGGCTGTCAGACAGTATTCTATGTCACAGGAAGCAAACAGGAACCCAGGCACATCTCAGTTACCTAAAGCAGTTTGGAATTCTGATAGACTGTTACATCAAAATGTTTAGAGGCTGTCAAACTGCTAAAATGTACATCTCCTGCCTGTAAAGCCAGTTCAAGATGTCTGAGCTCCCCATGCCACTGTGATTGTCCTCCATATATATCATGTCAGTCTTCTGCCACCCACAGCCTGCTGATGTACCTGCCTGGACCTAAGAATGCCTTTTTCTGCTTTTGGTTGGCTCCTGTCAGTCATCCCCTCTTCACCTTTAGATGAAAAGATCCCAATTCTGAATTCCAAGGTTAGCTAACCTGGACTCAAACTCCCAGAGGTTCAAAAATTTGTTTACCCCCTTTGAAGAAGCCCTCACAGCTGATATCACTAGTTGTGCTAGGAGCACAAAATATCAATGCGCTTCTGATTAATGACACCTAAGCTGCCTGCTATAAAGGCACAAAAGCTCTGCTGCAATATCTGGCAGAAACTGGTTACAAGAAAGGAATTCCACAAATTTCTTAGGGCTGCAGGCTTCTATAAAATATGGATCCTTGAGTTCATAAAAACAGTCAGGCTTAATCAGACTGTCAATCACTAGGAGTGTCCAGTGACCTTCCTTTGCAAATATTTGATTCAGTTGCTAAAGTCTACCTCCTCTCCTTGCCTCCGTGCTGTAATACCCACTGTCTTTCTGATCAAAAACCTGACAAACTCACCTTAGACTGAGACCTAACTGTCTAGATGTCACATGCTGCACTGGACCTGCTGAATAACTGTGAACCACTCAGTGCCACAAAACCATGACTGTCTGGCACTGATTGATAAACTGTTCTTGAGCTGACCAGACTTAGAAATAAACTCCATGACAGACATTGAGTACACTGTTTTTTATGGATGGAAGTAGCTCTGTTAGCAATGGAGTCCAACAGATATGCTGTGGTCACCTTGTACAAAATTATTTTGACCAAAACTCTCCTACTACTGCTTCCTGCTGCACTTGGAAACCTGCCACAAGGATGCTAGAGACCTAAGCCCCTCCATGGAGCCAATTGACTGAAACATATACTCCAGCCAGAAGGACTTTACCAGTACTCCCAGAAGATCCATCTTAATCAGAGCCAGACATGCCCCCACTTGAGCTTGTTCTGCAAGCTCAAGCCACAGCACGGGCACCTGTACTCCTGCAGCCAGCTCAGGTTTCAGTGTCTGTG